GTGCATGTGGGTGCAGCAGAGGCGTCTCCCTAATTAGGCTCTCAGGTGGCCAATGCGGACTGTCAGGTGATCAGTGCGGGCTCTCTGCTAGTCACAACATTTCTTAAAACTCAATCTTTCAAAAACTGAGCTCTTGATATTTCCTCCCGCCCGTGCACCTTCTCCCAACATTTCAGTTGAGATTGATAACACAACTATCAAGCCCTCCCCCCATGCCAAAGTCCTAGGTGTCATCCTTGACTCGGACCTCACCTTTCTTCCCCACATCCAATCACTATCCAAATCCTACCGCCTTCACCTTCGTAACATCTCCAAAATACGCCCCTTCCTCACCAATGAAACCGCTAAATTACTCATCCACTTCCTTGTTATCTCTCGTTTTGACTATTGTAACTCCCTCCTCATTGGCCTTCCACTACACAGGATATCCCCCCTTCAGTCTATCATGAATGCAGCTGCTAGACTCATCCACCTGACCAACCGCTCAGTGTCTGTAACCTCCCTCTGCCAATCCCTCCACTGGCTTCCACTCGCCCAGAGGATAAAATTCAAAATATGAACAGTCACTTATAAAGCCATCCACACCTCCGCCCCCGGATATATCTCAGACCTCGTCTCAGAGTATCACCCTAACCGTCCACTCCGCTCATCCCAAGACCCCCTGCTTTTCAGCTCCCTAGTCAACTCTTCCCATACTCGCCTCCAGGACTTCTCTAGAGTCTCTCCCATCCTCTGGAACTCTTTACCCCAACCTGTCCGTCTATCTCCCACCTTGACTGCCTTTAGGCAATCCCTTAAGACTCATCTCTTCAGGGAAAGCTATCCCAATCCCTGCACGTCCGTACGAGCATATGAGTACAATCACCCGTACCGATGTGCAGGATGGGTGAGCAAAGGGCGGCTTACGGCCCCATAGTCCTATAGAGAAGAACAGGGGCTGTGTACTAATCACATAATCCGGCATATTAGAGGGCCGCCCGCTGGGGCCTCCCGAGTACCCCCTTGAGGAGCGAGCGGCTGCGCGATTAGAAAGCCGCATCTTTAGCGGCAGAGAGACGGCGAAGGGTTAAGTCCGCCCCTGGATGGTGGTATTCAGCTATGCTGTATAATCATTATACAGCAATGCTGAATACCACCAGCCCACCTAGTCCCCCAATCCCCTCTTTCCCCCAAGCCAGTCATTACCCACAGACTCCCCCAACCTCACCCAACATATGCAGGCTGCAGCACTGCACCTCTTCATCTGCGTCCTCCTTGGCGGCCAGTGGAGGGGAGGGGGCACAGGAGAGGGTGCCTGCAGAGCCGGGTATTGGCTCCGCCTCAGTGATTGCCAACGACAGGCAGCTGCCAATGACCTGTTACTTTCAATTCATTCAGAAGATCCCTGGCCCGCACACACACTGGTACATACAGCTGTCGCTCCATGCCACGGACTTTATTGCAGTTCATTGTACAATGTTTTTTTTACAATGAACCACAGTAAAGTCTGTGACACAGAGGGAAAGCTGTATGTAGTTGTGTCACACAACGCACACTGCGGGAGGCAGCAGCAAGGATAGGACATGGACCAGATGACCATGCGGGGGAAGGATTTAATAAGATTCAAAAGCTGCACTGGACCCTATGAGTGAGAAGCGTCTCTAGAAATGTACAGCAACTGTGTGCAACCTGGTGGAAATGACAGTGTTCACCAAACTGAGGTCATCAGCTGGGCGAGAGGTGACACAGCAATGGAAGTAGACAACAATAAAACAAAGACCACAGCATGTTATGAGCAGAGTGTTAGAACCTGTGCAAGCTGCAGAGGTGTATCACCTGGGAGGGGTTCTTTTAAAAAAAAAACAGTGGGATGCAACCAGCTTATGCCCACTCACTTGAGCATGACTTGTTCCAGCCCCCCTAAGGACCACTTACCAGTTTATTCTGTAGATCGTACAGCTCCCCTACCTCCCCTACATCGCCTACTCGCTGCCTTAAAAGTAGGATCCCCATTGAATGCTGCCTGGTGTCCCTCCTTTATTTTCTACAATCATGCTAAATAGTTCACCACTAAGCTGTCCTCTTTCATGGCAGAACAAATAATGAGGTCTGCTCTACTAAGCCACAAGAGGAACAGATTTCAGTTTTAAATTATTTAATTATTAACCAGATCTCCCCTGGAGGACACTTGCTCCAGTGACAACTGTCACTTCCTGTCTTGAGAAGACTGGTAACACAATGGCAAAAATATAAGTAATATAAATTTTGCATTTTACTATGTGTTTTGGAGGTCTGAGAGTTCCATTCACAAGGATGACCATTCACTGGCAATGGTTGCAAATGCATATAATGCGTGCCATATATTAAATTAATGAGCTTCTTTACCACAATGCAATGTCAGTTCCCTGGTATCTTTCTGTGTACTGAAGTGATATCTCAAACAATGATATCCGTGTTTCCTGCTATGTAATGGAGATGAGGAGGGGAGGAGGTATTTATAGTCCAAATCAGGAGAGCAGTCTAAAGTGACATCATTGCTTTTCCATAGATACAGTTAGCGATCCTAGAGCAGGAAGTGTGTTACCTGCAGGATCAGCAGGTGAAAATAAGGAAAGAAAGCCTGAAAAAAAAAAAACTAATCAGCCACATCTAAGGACTGGTAAGTTGATATATGTGAAATGTTTGTTTTGGGGTTGAGAAACGCTTTATATCTAAAGTGTTGGCTATGTAGCCATCTTCTCTTCTTTGCAAGCCTAAGGTTCTGTCCCCATGTACACAAGGCTAGATCTAGGCCTGTAAACATAAAAGCAAGTTCATAGAAGGCACTTGTGATGGCTGGTTCTGTCGTACTGCAACAGATTGATATTGTTTCCTCGGTGCCATGATAAAAGAGTGACGACAATTGGATTAACTTCAAAGGAGCTATTTCTATTTCCTTTCAAAGAGAACAGACCAATCATTTTATCTTTAATTTCACTGATTTTGATGCTCTGCTGCTAATTGACCTGTGTGCCTGAAAACCTAATGACTTTGTGCGGATCACTACAAAGGATTAGATTTTGTTTTGCGTATCATGTGGTAAATCCACATATAATAAATTGCCTCACGAATAATACTGTGCAGCAGTGACGTTAGGAAAAAAAGCAGAGCTACTTTATAGACTGATAATGGGAGATCAAATGTAGCAAAATGTTTTGCAAAACAGAAAACTCAAATCACTGTCTAATTTACTGCAAGACATGCTATATGAGTCACTAATTTTTGACAATGACAGAAGCAATGACTACCAATTATCTTCCTTCATTAAAATAAAATGACAAATTGTGCCGGACTAGGCTATATCACGGCAAAAATATAATTAAGCCATCAAGTATTTAATGTGTATGCAAAACCAAAACTTTAATGGATAGATTCAGGAATAGTTAAAGAGAAATTTTACCCCATCATGTGTCTTTTTTTTTAAGACCCCCTCTGGCCTTTGTTGCTGGGGTTATTCACGAATAACATACTCGCAGAGAAGCTAGCATTGTCCTACTGTGATCTGCCAATCCCCTATTGCCCACATCGCCATCTTCTTTCATTACATCACTGGGAGCCGTCTCTCTCTTCCTGGGTTCTTAGAGCTGGCCCCTGATAACATGCTGCTAAGTCAGTCCTTTTCCTTCCTCAGAGTGGAAGCCAATGCCTCCAAGGATATTTGACATAGACGTCACAGGAGACTGCTGGAGCAAAGGACATGCCATTCTCGCCTAGGCAAGGGGTGGTCTAGGGTTAGAAATGTAAAGCCAACTGCTGCCCTTCGGGGAGATTTCTTGGTTAGCAATATTAAACTAATAAAAAATTGGCTTTTTTTTTAGATTACGGAGGTAGGGAGGGTTACAAGGATGCAAAGCCCTTTTGAAGAGTGAAGGTTTGCTTTAAGATCCCTGTCATTTTTTTTTTTTTACTGTCTGCTGCCCTTCGGGGAGATTTCCCTTCACTTCTTGTCCAATAATCACAGCAGGAAGAAAGAGGAAATCTGTCCAAAGTGAGCGGATATCCCCTGTTATATATTTTAAAGAGGAATTGTAGCCTAAACCTTCTTACTTTCAAACAGTACAAAAGTGCCAGGTCTACAACTTTGAAATACATATGTCATCTACATGAAGCTGTATGTAGATAAAAGACACCATGGACCTCTTTGTATTGTTTTCTGCAGCCTAGGACAATCTCTCTCTCTGCTAACGACCAAATCTGTCCCACATGTCATTTTCCATCTGGCAGCTTTAATGGCAACTCCCATTGATTAACTGCTAGTCTATTAGAGCCTGATAGTGCAAATATTAAAAATTATGTATCTCTGTTAGGAGTAGCTGTTCTGTGCTGGGTAGCCTCAATTTCTGAGAACCAGAGAGGATGGTACTTGGAACAAGGGAACCCAGGCTCAGATTCACAGCCAATTAGAGAATAACCATACTGGCAACTTTATTGATTTAGAATGTGAGGCAATCAGTCAAAAAACCAAAAAAAAAATAGTAATATGATATCACCCTTTATCATGTAATAGTGCTTAGGCCTTGTGATTGTACACTCAGACCTAGTGCTGCAATGTGGGAAGCAGGGGGCAAAGCCAAAGCGGGAGGACATGGGTTTTTCTCGAGCTCTGACAGGAGAGTGAATGGAAAAGCACCAGCACTGGAGTCATCCAGCAGTCCTGTTTCTGTGACCTCAATGTAAAAAGTACAGGTTTGTTTGAAGTGAACACAAGCTTCTTGTTGACACTCTAGGTGCCACATGCATGCTGTCCTCCTGGTTTGGGATTACCAACACATAGATCTGGTGTTCTGGGTTTGTAGCCTTTTATAAAGGATTACCAAAAAACAAAACTGGTGACCTGGGTGAACCTGGAGGGACTGAGTTGGATTTACAGACATTAGCCTTCCAGAAATCTGCTCAATTCAGATTGAATCTAATAAGGCGGATTGATTTTAGTATCTTCAAGATTTCACATGGTAGATACGCTATGTGGTTTAACTTTAAATAACCTATCAACTGATATTTTTTCAGGCTCCATTGTTCAGGCAACTGAGCCTCATCTTTTCACAGTATCTTTCAAATTGAAATCTCTTGGCTGGCTCTTCTTTGTATGGCTGTCTGCTTTCCGAAGGTCAGTTCGATCTCCATTCAAGCATAGAACATCACGCTAAAAATAATTGCTCTTTCTGTTCACTTTGCCATTTCCATGTGTGAGTACCTGTCCTTTCTTTCTTTTTGGATTTCAATGCACAGCTGTATGAAAGGATTATGCCTTCTAAAGTAACATTGGCATATGATATGCACAACGTATAATGAACTGGTGAGATGTGACTGTGTGACTTGACATGAGAGATCCAGTTTTTCCTTCTTTTTTTTTTTTTTTTAATGAGGAGCTGCTCACATCATTAAATGCATTTGGGGCTTATATTACCTGAAGACCTTTTCACACATTTCCTCAGAATGAGCTCTGTGCTGGAGAAAATGTAAAATAAGAGTATGGCATATAAAGGACTTTCGGTTTTTTTAAATGAAGCCTGTCATTATTGAAATATGAGTAACTACCATTACTGACCTCCTTGTGGGAATGCCACTTGCCTGGATGTTGTGCTGGCCCATTGCTTCAATGAGTCATTGGCCCAGAACAAGTATGTAGCTCTAGGATGTCAGAGAACTGTTAGAAGTCCTTATCAACCTACTGGTTCCTGGTCAGTGATATTTAAAGCACGTGATCAGCCTACATGCTGCTCTTGTGACACTTCTCCTTTCTTTAAAGAAGAAGTATCACCAAAACTAGAAAAACATGTCCTTAATCCCCCAGGGGACCAAGTGCTTATAGCACTTTATCATATTCAGATCTGTAATGCAGTTGCTGGTTGACAGTATGCTCACCCTTCTCCCTTCCATGTTCAACCATTCTGCTCAGAAGAAGACAAATTTTGAATGAGGCCTGAGTGACAGCCCACACAAAGGAGAGTAGTGACAGCGCACACCGAGGATTGACCACACACAAAAAAAATTGGAAGTAAACAAATTGTTCATTTGGGCTCTATACCATTAGTATGCTAACTGCAGTGCATGAGACACAAAGCCCAATCTCTGTAGCTATGGCAGCTGGCCAGTGTGCTATTTGGTTATTACAGTTTGTGAGAATCTGCATACTGTAGATCAATGGTAGGCAACCCTGGAGATGTGCAGATTAACCTAAGCATCATGTAAGAGATCAAAGAATGAGGTTGCATGCTTTTTTCAGGAGATAACTTAGCAAGGCCCTATTAAAAAGTAAGGAAGGTTTGAAGAGTTGGAAGAGGTTAGCAGTAAGTAACACAGAGTGCAGGGGTCAGAAGTGAGTAATGCACAGTTCAGAATTATGTAACACAGTGTAGCAGCTAAACTTCAAGGTCTGCTTTTCCTGTGGTTGCTTCCCTTCACAGAATAGCAGCATAAAGATTAAATAAACCTGTAAGGGGGAAGTTAGTATACTTATATAGTATATATAACTTACCTTTCCCCCAGCTTCCAGTCACAATGCTAAGGTGAGGGTAAGGTCATCCTTTCTCTGGTGAGCTCTGGAGAACGCAGAGTACTAAATATGCAAAATTTAGGGTTTAATGGTCTCCCATTTCTTCAAAAAGTCTTGAGGCTACTGATAAAACATGATAATTCCAAACAAAATAATAGACTTATTTCAAAGTCTACAACAGAATATATGGATATATAACGTATATCAAATCTAAATACAAAACTAAAAACACTACTAGAGCTGTGTCCTTATTCAAATTTGTATTGCCAAAACACAATTAAAACATCATGATGATACATTAATATCCCATTAAAACCTTGCTCTGCCCTGTGTCCTAGACCTTGGAAGAAATCTCTTGGAAGAAATTATATAACAAAACACGCTATATAAAATAATGGGAACAGTCTGATAAATTCACATAAAAGTTCTTAAGATAAATCCTTAGCTTTAGTTGTCCGTTGTTTCAAATGATATAAACAAGATAGAAGATTATTGAACATCAGTGGCAGTTCTCCAATACTGTATAGAAAACAGAGTGACATTGTTGCAATGCTGTTCTGGATTTTTATGTTGGATGCTTGCTTTGAGATTATAACACGTCACTCTGTTTGATATACAGCATTGGAGAACTGCCACTGATTTTCAATGGCTCTCTATCTTATTTATATCATTTGAAATAACATACAACTAGGATACCTATGCTTATGGCTAAGGATTTATCCTGAGAACTTGCATGTGAACTCATCAGACTGTTCACTCTATTTTGGTTAGTGTGTTTTATTATATGATTTAATAAAAGAGGTCATTTTATGTGTTCTTTAAGCATTAAAAGATGGTTATGGATTCTATGCAGACCTAGGGGTGTATTTATAAAGCGTTTGCAGAGTGAACAGCTCTGCGAACATCTACGTTTTAGATACACAGCACATTATGGCCACTAGATGGAGCTGAGGAGTATAGGAAATTCCTATGCTGCTCTGCTCCATCCAGTGCCCATATTGTCTTGCAAATCTAAAACTCAGACGTTCGCAGAGCTATTCGCTTTGCAAACATTTTATAACTTCTCCCTTATTATAGTACCATACTATAGTGCAATAAATATTTGAATAAGAACACAGCTTTAGTGGTAATATTATTTTTGTATTTATATTTGACAGAATATATAATGTATATTGATATAGTCCATTATAGTCTTTGTTTTTTTTCCACCTTAAACAAATGTAGAGTACTCCAAATCTCAGTCAGAGCACTGTTCTAATGTATCTTCTTCTGAGATTTGGATTGCTTGCCATTCCCTGGGATCTCTTTGGCAGGATGGTGACATCAGCCCTTGCACCACAGAAGTTAGTGAAAACAAAAGTATATTTTATATCTTTTCACCACAGCAGGTGCTTACTTAAAAGTTCCAGAAAAAACACCGACAGGCACCAAAAAAGACCCTCCTTTGGCCCAAACAGCTTCTTAAAATCCATTAGGGCTGCCCCGTTTCAGATGAGGGATCCTGAACATTGTATAAAACATAAAACAACACTGGGCGCCTGTCCCGGTGCAATAAACATTTTTATTTATAAAAATGGGTATACAAATTATACTCACAAAATAAGCAAGGGTTAAGCAAGTGCTCAGTGACTCAGTGTCCCCGAAAACGCTTTCAGCAGTGATAGCGTGTCTCTGCAGACAAGCAGAGCTTTTGGATTGTCTTTAATTTTCTCCTATTCACCTACACAGCAGAAATAGTCACTGAGGACTAGCCGTCCATTGATGCCTTTAACCCTTGCTTATTTTGTGAGAATAATTTGTATATCCATTTTTATCAATAAAAATATTTTTTGCACCATGAGAGGAGCCCAGTGTTTTTTATGCTTACTTAAAAGTGTATGGTTCTTTTTCGAGTAAAGGGGGGTGGGGGGGGGTTTACTTAAAAAGTGGACCATGCAGAGTGTGTGTGTGTGTACTTGGGCAGATAGGCTTTCACTGTATAGATATTGGCCTTGCATTTTTACATTCATGAATAGAAACACATTCTTTGTATATAAGTTTATTTCCATATTGTAACAGTATTATAAGCCAAGTTAGAGTCAGTTAAACGAGAAAATGTTCTTTGTAAAAAAAAAGATGATTCTGGCAGAGGAGAATTGCTTTGGGCACAAAAGGCTGTGTGCCTACAGGCTCCAGTGATGGAAATCCATCCCTGGCTATCTGCCAGTTTGTCAGTAAGTTGATATATGGCAGCTCATTGAAAACTATTGCGTTTGCATAGTGCCACATCCTAGCTCAAGTAAACCTTTGCAAACAGAGCCACAAAACTACACATCTCCTGGTGCCAAAATACAATCTGATCTGAAATGTTGGGGCGGGCGAGTTGCACAATTTTGTTAAATGATTTCCGTTTCAGTTTTATAGTAAAACTTCAGCTAAAACATTTTTTTAAATAGAATACTGAAGAAGGCTGGAGACCCCATTCGGGCTTTATCCTTCTGTTTCCTTGTTCCCTCTAGAATTTCCTCCCCATTTCTGTCCTGGTGACCGCTCCAGTTTGTCTTTCTTATAAATTGCCATGGATCAGGTTATTTGCCCATTTTAGTACTAGTGTATGACAAAAAGCCCCAGAGACTCTGATATGGACAAAAAATGGCACCAGTGATGTTTGTTATTCTGTTGAGGAAGGTAGTAAAAAAGTATAGTAATGTGCCCATGCTGTACTACTTTGCAGAGTATAACCCCTTAGGAAGAGAAGTGGAAGAACTTTGGCTGGAAGAAAATGGTCCTAATGCCTTTGTGGCTCATTAAAAATAAGATATTGTCCTTATTGTCCTTTTAATGCATGTTTTATATATATACATGTGAAAGAGATCAACTTATTTTCATAATAATCTGGGTGTTTTTTTAGCACTTTTCTCTCTAAGGACCCAAACCACCTAATAAGCCTTAATAAATAAATAAATAAATAAAAAATTGTAAAATTAAAGTATATCCTAAGCCCATTTTTTTTCTACAGATGGAGAAAGAAAAGGTTTTTTTTCTCTCTCCATTGGGGAGATATCATTTATTTCCTGTCTTGGCAACACAACAAAGTTTGAGATTGAGAGAAAAAGCTGCCACAAAACACATTTCTCCCCAGGGTAACATTCAAATATGGCTTCCTGTAGTCATCTTCTTTCTACCTCTTCCTGGTTTGGACATTTCACAAATCTCATACCTCAATATAAATGTCCATAATCTAGATTTTGTAGAACCATTACCCAAAAAAAATTTTTGTTTAATTTGAGTCCAGTCTGTCCTAAAAGACTTTTTCCACTGAAAGAGAAGAAAAATGATATGCATTTTCAAAAATCTGATTTGAGACCATTTTTTCACACGGCACAGCACAGTTTCTGCTAGTGTTCGGCTTAAATGATGCCCTATTTTATGTATTTATAGTCTCAAGAAGGATTTGATGTGCTACAAGTAGCCAATTACTAACATTTAATCCAAAACCTTATTGGCTAGTTAAGCAGAATTTCTCACTGGTCAGTCAGAACCAAGAATGCTCTTTGTTTGTTTTTTAAAACCCTTTTATGTTAAACCATCATGGATATATAAAAATAAATTATACTTTTAATTCAGTATTACATTTAAAATAAAACGATGTGATCATACATTTGATTCAGTTTAAAATGAAATGATTTATAACAATGGATTTAAGCACATTTCAAGAAGCAATAATTCATATCAAATGGAAGAAAGGCCAAATTTTCCATGGCTGTCAACAATTTTGGCCTCCAGTGTATGTTTATATGGATTTGTTGGTTTTTACTGTGGAGCGCACTATCATGCAATTGTAGCACTACTCCTCAGGGTGTTGTGGAATGCCCCCCAAAGTGGTATAGCAGGCTGACATCTCCAAATCCCCAGTACTTACTTTCCTAGGCAGATAAGCTCTCATGGTGGAGTCCTTGGCCTGTGGTTGGGTGAATACATTGGGTACTAGTTACTTTAGCCTTTTTTTGTTTTATTGCTGACTGAAGTTGGTAGAGTGGTGACCTGCTCAACTGTTGTGTAGGACTGTCTCTGCCCACTTAGCCTGCCAATGGCAGGGGATGCTCCTAAATGGATAGTTCCAGATGTTTTATTGTTGTTACTTCGCTAAAGTAAAACCACACTGTGTATCACCAGTGATGTGATACATATGCTATGTCTGTACATGTTTGGTATTAATGACATCTATATTAATTTATGTTTTTTTATAGTATACCTCACTTTTCTCCTGATGAAGTGGATTTATCTGAGAAACCCTTTGAGCTGAATGCCATCCGAACAGTTAAACCATAATTAGTTACTGTATGGTAGTACTAGTATCGATATCGGTGCCGATTCCGAGTATTTGGGCAAGTACTCGTACTCTCCCAAATGCTCCGATGCCTAGCACGAGTACTTCCGGTATCAGGAAGCTGGGCAGCGCGTTATTACACGCTGCCGGTTTCGCGATTGACCGGGAAGCGGCTCCATGCTCTCTCGTCACTTGTGATGAGAGAGCATGGAGCCGACTTCCCGGCCAATCAGGAAGCTGGGCAGCGTGTAATGACGCGCTGCCTGGCTTCCTGATTGGTCGGGAAGCTGGCCAATCAGGAAGCTGGCCTCGTGAGGTAAGGTTACCTTACCTTAGTATGTGCAGCCTGTCACCCCCGGGGCCTCTCCAGCGAGAATGTGGCCTTCGTCCGGTACCCAGCCGGAGCCATCCAATCAGGAAGCCAGGCGCCGTCTAATGACGCGACACCCTGCTTTCTGATTGGCCGGGAAGCTGGCTTCATGCTCCCTCGTCATCTCAGTATAAAGTGGTTGTCGGATAGGGATACTGTAGTGCGGTTTATCCCCCAATAGGAGACATTTGTTTTGTATTTTCGTTTTTTATTTTTATGGATTGATGGATCATGTATTTAATAAAATTTAAAATGTATTGATGCATTTAACTCTATGAGTGATCAAAACTGTGATATTATTTTCTATGATCTTTCTGAGTGCTGTTTTTTACGTGTTGAATTTATATCTAATCAGGCCAATTTATATACTGGCACTTTAACACTTGTGGATGAACTCTACTTGTTGGTATTGTACTTGTTTGCAAATTGCATAAAGTAGTGTTAGCAAAATTAGTAGTTTTACCACCCACCTTATGAGCTTGATGTGACATGTATTATTCTTCATTTTTTATCCCTTTATATCTAGGGCATTGGGCATTGGGCATTCAAACACCGTTGTTTCAATTGACGTTTTTAACAACTGTTTATTTGTTCATCCATTAGTGTTTACAAGGTAATATCTGGGGCACTGTATTACATTTCTTTTTCTCTAATAAATTTGTATAGATTGGTATATATGTGATTTCTTTTTAATTTTTTTAACACACCATATATATATAATATTAATTTATGCAATTTAAATCAACAGTGTAAAATTTCTGTTTATGGTTTGATAATCTATCCTAATATAACAAACTGTAGATGTAACTACTTAAAAATTGTTAGCTGGAGCTAGGCTTTATTTGTTTTTTTTTACTTCTAGTATATTTAAAACTGTCCATCATTGTCACCCTATTGCTGAGAGTGGAAAAATAACAGATCTACAGGAAATAAAACTATGTTACTGAAAAACAAAAGCAAATGTGGTAATGATAGTGACAGACTGCATTTTATACGTAATTTCTTTCCCATTGTTCTACTTTAATTACTAGAGTGTACCTTAAACAAGCCTTTCAATTACATATGATGTTTAACCAAAAGTAGACATTAACTAATCAGAGGCATACCTCAACAATTCTAGTCATTGGCCTACTAATTACTTAATATGCAGGTAATTTCTAAATGTTTGCCTTTGATAACTCCCATCAGACCCCTGCCACCAAAGCTACAGCTATGAATTTGTTTGCAAGCGCACGTCCTTTCCTTGGAATCACAACTAAGTACGTCAAATGAGCAATTAGAACAAAGCCCCTCTTCCCACATACAAGTACTTCCGCAGTGTTTGCTACTGCAGAGCAGAGATTAATGTAAATTGCCAGAGCACAAATATTAATTATCTCTGAAAGCAATTTATGTTTTTCGACCTCCTGTCAGCTAATGCAAACTAATGCATAAACTGCAGCTTCTGTACATCCCCTCATTAGCATGCAGAATGTCTTATGGCACATTAAGTCTGACCCCCCTACGCATTGTTTTGTAGGAAAAGGATAAACACAGGTTCTACATATATTTTTGTGACTTAAAAATGTGCACATTGTATATAACATTATGAGACAAAAAGCAAGTAAACGTGTTGACATGGGCACAAAAGATGCCTCTATATAGGCTTTGATTACTCTGAAAGACGATTTGACTGTATGTAAAGATCAAGCCAAAGCATGACATCCTAAGCGTCACTTCACACTAGTGATCCTGTCGCTGGCGACAATTACCCAGTGACAGGCTCACTATGCAGAGCAAAGTAGATTCCAGAAAAAATACAACAAAGGTACTGCACTTGTTGCAGTTTTAGCAAAGAAGAGTTGCCTCCAGTGACAGTGCACCTTGCACTCTGTTAGCAGAAATGGGGCCCCCTAGATCAGCCATTGTTGCTAGGGATTCCTTGAGCAGTGGTTGATTGCCCTTACATCTGTTTGTGCCTTCGTAGTTCAGGGGCTAATGTCACTTGCCAGATCCATGATACCAATGATCATTTTTAGCTTCCTGTAAGGGTGGCATTCCTTACTGTGACCACCAATGTAAAGAAGGAGTTATTTCTACTGACCGCCAATTTAAGGAGAAGCATTCTTTCTACTGCCCACAAATGTAAGGGGGGCACTTTTTCACTGACCACCAATCTAAAGGGGGCAGTCTTCATCTCTGACCATAAATTAAAGAGGCTCTTTCACTGAATATCAGTGTAAGGTGACATTTTTCCACTGACTACCAATGTAAGGGGCAGTCTTCCTCTTACTAATCATAGATGCAATGAGGAACCTCCCTTCATTTAACATTAATGTATGGAGGCATTTCTACATTGACTACTAGTGTTAGGGAGCCTGTGTTTCTTATCTGCCCATTATTATTATTTTGGTGATTATTGCTCAAAATTATTTTATCATGTAGAGTGTGGATTGTTAAAAATAATCTACTTTGTCCAGAGGCACATGTACATACATAAGCACCAAGGAGGCTTAAGGGTTCCTAATTTTTTTTTAAATATTACTAGATGCCTCAAATCACCGCAATAATATTCTTATATGCGGCAAATGAAGTAACCACTCTAGGTGGAACTGGAAACCGCGCATTATTCACCTATAAGTAGAAAGGTTCCCCGGAGAAAAATTAATTAACTTATGCATAGAAACGGCGTCCCCAATCATATTGGGTCTGTAACTAGGCATAACATGTAAGAAAACAAAGAATGGTCGCAAGCACTGTTCTGTGCGCTGACCGAAAGAAGTTCATCCAGACCATAAGTACGGTAGAAAAAATATAAAAATGCTTTATTTATAAATAAAGCATTTTTATATTTTTTCTACTTATGGTCTGGATTAGCTTCTTTCTGTCAGCGCACAGAACAATTATTCACCTATAACCTCCAAGCTATACCCTGGCTTTCATCTGATCTGAGACCTAGGAATTTGAGTCCTCCATTGCAACACATTTTGAGACTCTTGGATAACAATAAGTATTCCAGTTATTTTACCTCACCTCCCTCTACTCCCTCTACTGGGTCACCCACTCCTCCCTCCCCCCCGAGATGGAGTCTCCATTTACCTTCACTTTTACAACTGCCTACTTTCTCTTAGATAAGGACTCGATCCTTTCTTGGATAGCGATTAGGAACAAATTTCAGCCCTCCTCTACAGAATTTTTTCGATATCTGTAGATCAGGCATTAGATCAGATAACTCCCTCGCAATAGGGGCCTCTTTCCTAAGTTAACCTCCTTTAGCCATTACAAGCCATTATCACACAAACCAATAACTATAGTTTACTCTTCACTTCAACCATCTACCTAATGATCCTGCACATACATATGTCCCCCAGTGGAAAAGACACCTGAGGAACAGTAAGTCAGAGAAAAATTGGCTATTAACTTGGTCCCCAAAAGCGTCATGCACTATTTTATCACTACACTCAACTACACTCAACTCTGTCTTTAGGGACCTTGCCCGTTGGCACATGGTACCTTTAAGACTCACACATCTTCCCACAGGGCATTCAGGCCATGCTTTAGGGGCCGCCAGGGCACGGGGGACTTTTTACATTTCTGGCGGATATGCCCACTGTTCAGTAGGTTCTGGAATAGGGTCTAATAACCTTCTGCAGCATTTATTCAACGTCCGAATCTCAATAGTTCCTTAGTTGGAGCTTTTACATTTTACACCTACAATTCCTACTAAAACCCAGTACAAACTAACCAATTTTATACTTTTATCAGATAAACTTACTATAGCTCATGCACCGAAAAAACAGGTTAGGCAATTTACTAAAGTGAAATGATGCATTGGGGTTGATTTACTAACCTTATAAACACACCACGAACATGTATACACCTCTGTAGTGTGTTACCTCCCAGCATGATCTATGGGTGGAATCTAAACACCTTTGTAGTGTGTACACACCCAGCAGGTGTGTTGTGCAAAGCCCTGCATGAATTGCAAGGTGATGTCGTGTAAATTAGCTCTATGTTGTGTTGCTTGCGTTGATGAATGCAGGAATGTAAATGCATGAGCTAACCATTTTTGTCTAAACTGTGAAGCAGCATTATATATGCATCATGTGCATGATTTTTCCATATATGGCATTAGTGGAAATATGCTTTTAGAGAATTTTTGGTTGATAAATACGTTTTGCTGTGTGAAAATCACACGCACCTGGTGCGTGCGTGCATGTGTTTAGGTTAGTAAATCACCCCCATTGGCTCTTTTTTTTATTAACAGAAAACTCCACATCTGGAGGAACTTGATACACTGACAAGTTCCTCCAGATGTAGGGCCCCTGCATCCAATGCTTTTATCCAACACTTCCTACTGAAAGCTTCATGACCTATAATAAAGGACAGAGACCCCTGGCACTGTGCTCCCCTTCCTTTCTTCCTGTCATTTCTTATTCATCCACCTCTGCTTCTTCACCCTTTTCACTTTTTTTACTCTTTGTGTTTCTTTCTCTGCATGCTAGTTCTGGGAATGGATAAATCCAATCCTGTGTTTTTTCCTTTCCTTTCCTCATCAAACCCATCTCAGACAAATCTTTACCATGATAGATGACATATGTCTAAACTCTTGAGGTAGTGGCATTTATGGCCCTCTTACATAGAAACTGAAGTTGTAGATCCAGTTTATTCAGTTCCAATAAACAGAAAACACTGCATATTACTTTTGCAACTGCTTTTATTGCTACTCAGTGTTACATTCATGTTTCCACTCCATTCTCTGTCATTGAAAAATGTGTTAAAACTCAATAAAAACTATTGCAATAAAAAAATATTCCACCTTGACAATAAATACTCTATGTGTGCCATATGCTTTGCTTATCATATCTAAAGCAATGTACTGTGACCTATAAACACAGTTTTTCCTTGAGATCTGGAAATTATTGAAAGAGTTACAAAATGTTGAATAAAACCCAACTGAACAGTCTGCAGGAGTCCAGTGAAGAGGGGCGGCTGGGCCCTTTTCTTTTTAAAATCACACCGATGTATAAATCACGCTATATACATTTTTATTTGTAAAATAGGGATTTTACACAAATATTGAACATAATCATATACAATTCCAGTTTATAAATGTATAAACAGTAAGAAACGAATGAAATTATTTACATGGATTGTTAGTTTGAAGAAAAGAGATGTATATTTATGTAGATTTCTACTTAAAGTGAATCTAGGACTGTGAACACCTAACCAACACTGAAGGAAGTCTGAAGCAGCAGTAAGTGTTTCAGCTCTTCTATTACTTGTTTTTAATCTATCCCAGCAAGACATAAGTTAACATTTGAATACAGATCCACATTAACAAAATATATTTTCTGAATCAAAACTTGTACTGTTCTTACTGTATCTATTTTTACATTCCATTTTCTCTTATTTTCCAAAAAGTATTACGTGTTTGCCCTAAATACATCTGTCATAGAGCCAAAGAAATACTTTTTTCATTGTGCGTTTTCACTCTAGGTAGCTAAAAGAAATAAAAAGACACTTCCCATGTGCTTATAAACTTTTATTTACCTTCTTTCAAAATAATCTCACATAATTAAAATAATCCTCCAGCTACTCTAGCTTTGAAGCAAACCTGGCACCCCTGATCCCAGCAACAGCTATATGTCGCAAGAGTTGCCAGCCGTGAAGTATTAAAGTAGAAGGGGATTGAGAATACATTTGTTTAAGACATATCTACACAGCTGTATCAATTTGAATGTGCCAGGTATTGTAACGGTGGACCGCCCAGGGTCAGATAATTAGTAGGTTCCCAGTCTGTTACTGCAGGGCACACCAGAACCCCTGAAACCTGCAGAATGCCACTTGGTTACCAAGAAGAGCTCTCACAACATCCTACAATGTAGAGCTGGGCGATTCTCATTAGGTGATTGAGGCTCTGTCTTGTATTGTGTCGCACACTAAGAGCAGTCTTTAGTGTAACCTTTCAAAAATGTGCATAACGTATTCATCCCAGTGTTGGGGGATTCTTGGATTACCCGTAGTTACAGATCGAGAAGCTTATGGCATATTGCAGCAGGAAGTATCTAATCCAGATTTTTTGTTAGTTGAGGGGGTTTGAGGGAGCAGACACCAATAGTTTAGAGTGTATCTAAAGTCTAGACTTTTTTTGTAATTATGGATAGAGCAGGTAGGGGTTTAAGGGATTCTTCCGGCATTTGGCCCTTTTTTACCAATGCAATGTGTGGATGAAGTAATGTTCTGTGATTGAAGGACATCTTCCTTCAATTAGAAGAAAGGACACTGGTTGCTGGGTTCTGTAGAAGCAGTCAGAAAGAAGAAACTTATTTTCTACAGTGAGAAAACTAGAAGATCTTGTCATGTGAGAGGCAAGTGTATTCTTGAATGACAACTGGATGACAACTGAAGAAGACTTATTGCAGGAGATCCTATGTTGCATAAGTCCCCCTGGAGGGAATGATGTTGAAACTTTGTTTGCCCCATTAAAATGTATGGGATCAAGATGCTATTACAGTATGTCTACCACACTTATACAAGTTACAGTAAAGTTACAAGCACGAGCAGAAGTAAGAACCTTATCTCCAGTGGCAGTATAAAAAGAACTAGTGTACAGGTAGATGAAGTTAGAACTGATCAGGAACTGGAAGCTGTCAAACAGTCACTCACCATAGTGGGGTGAGTACTCTAGAAATCGGTGGAGAACAGACCTCCTGTAAATTCGCATGTACTGAGATAGTGTGAGCGAAGGCAATTCCCACTTTCATTTCCCACTAATGCCCTCTGGGCTATACTTTTGAGTGTTTAGTTGGGGCCCCTTTTGAAGTTAAGGTGGGACCCCAAACCACTTGAGTAAGAACCACTGTCAGATTTGTATTGCTTTCTGTGACCCAGCTGGGCAGATTGACCTTTTTTTTCTTTTTGATGACTATTATCCTAATTTTTACAGAAACGGAGGCTAAAGGAGGATAAATATGGCATTGGGTGGGCTCTAAAGGGTAGTGTTTTGCCAGTCAGTAACTCATATACATTACACTGTACAACAGATGAAAAAGGTTCAGCCTCATTTGAACCACTTGCATTGTATTGAGGGGGTTGGTAGCCGCTTGTTATGTGAGTTGGTGCACTGCAGTGCTATTAATTGTAAATATCGCCCCACCTTTAAAATGCACGGGTGCTGCAGTGCAAAACAGCACAGCAGAACACATGGTGCCTTTCAGCTCATTATTTTAAATGGAATGCTTAATGTATCCCGACCCAATGTGCATCAATGCATTACAATGCCTGTATTGCAGAGAACTGCATATTAATTTGTGAATAGGACCCAAGACTCAACTGCATCTGCTGCCTTTGCTGAACGATTTGTAAGCTGCACTGCACAGGTACAAAATGTGATAACCTTGAATTTGTATTAAAAAAAAAAAAGAAAGTCCAAGAACATTTTTTCTGTGTGCTACTATTTGTAAATCCAAAGCAAACCCAGCCTGTGAGGAAATTGCCTACTTGACCTTCATTCATTAGACAATACCAATCTAACATTGCAACCTCCTGTTGAGTGGATCACCGCATGCCTTCTGCTGCACTAGGAGGAGGCTCCTCATTTATTAAAAATTCAAGAATGTGTTACCAAAGTGTAATACAGTTTTAGGATTTACAAAAAAAATCCCACCCTCTCTTTAGATAACTTATGTTGGATTGGATGGCGAAACGGAGAAGGAGTTAGCTGCACACAGCCAGCCAATCAGCCAAACTCAAAGTATTTAAAAAAACTTTTAATTAGTAGATAATTGCACTAATGATTCAAAATACTAACAATAACCTACAAAGCCATCTACAACTCCGCCCCAACCTACATCACCCACCTCATGTCAAAATGTCACCCAAACTGCCCTCTTCACTCTTCCCAAGATCTCCTGCTCTCCAGCTCTCTTGTAACCTCCTCGCATGCTTGCCTCCAGGAGTTTTCCAGAGTGTCTCCCATCCTCCAGAACTGCCTACCCCAATCTGTCCGCCTATCTCCTACTCTGTCCACCTTTAGGTGATCCTTGAAAACTCATCTTTTCAGAGAGGCCTATTCCACCTCGATATAACAGTACTTTCAGTTCTTCCACTAAATCATCCCAAACAGTTATTACCTTTTGTATCATTTGCCCCACCTATTAGATTGTGAGCTCTCACAGGCAGGGCCCTCCTAACCCTCCTGTACTGGAATTGTATTGTTAATTGTATTGTCTCCTTCAGTTTAGTAAAGTGCTGTGCAAACTGTTGGCGCTATATAAATCCTGTATAATAATAATTGCTGAAGGGGTTTTTTATAGATGCCTGGAGTTCAGCTTTTACAACTGATGAAGAAAGATATCAGTTAGTGAGTATTGGATTTATTTCTTGTTTTTTTGTCATGGTAGGTCATCTGACTCATACACTTGCATTGTGCAAGGATCTCCCTGCTTCTGTGTCATTCATTCTGTGGATCTGTGCTTTCTGAACCTTTTCTTCAGTACAGAACAAGGTCCGTAAGTCCGTACTACACAAAAGATAAGCTGCAGAAAGCCCACAGGCAATAGTAGTGACCAGTCCTTTGCCTTATGTTTGCCTAAGTAACTACCATTTAGAAGAAGGTCAACTATTTGCTAAGTGTCCAAGTTCCAAAACACATTTGACTGATATTCTCACTAATCTAAGAGTGATTTATATTTTGCCACAAATTTGACATGTAGGGGGTGATTTACTAACCTAAACACACACACGCACCAGGTGGCGCCATAGGCTACACGCCGCTCTAATAGCGGCATGCAAGTCTCTAAAAGAATATTTCCACTAATGCCATATATGGAAAAATCATGCACATGATGCATATATAATGCTGCTTCACAGTTTAGACAAAAATGGTTAGCTCATGCATTTACATTCCTGCATTCATCCACGCAAGCAACACAACGTAGAGCTAATTTACACAACATCACCTTGCAATTCATGCAGGGCTTTGCACAACACACCTGCTGGGTGTGTACACACTACAAAGGTGTCTAGATTCCACCAATAGATCATGCTGGGAGGGAACACACTACAGAGGTGTATACTTGTTCGTGGCATGTTTATAAGGTTAGTAAATCAACCCCGTAGGGTCATTGTTCAGAACAGCTGTTGCCAACAGATTCATTCATAGTTCATTAACATAAAAAGCAAGATAACTTGGAGCAAGCTGGTCTGGCTGAGACGGCTTGTGCAGCAACCTGGGAGAGCGAGACTCTGTAATAGGCTGGAGCCTGCTGGTCACACAATTAATTAAGACTTCTGCTGTAGCCTGAGCCCTGGAAGGGACTATGAACAGGGGACATCTGACTGGCCTACTGAGGTCAGGAGATAGGAAGTGTCAGACCACCGTAGGACATGAGCGTACATGTGATGTAGGAAGCATAATGATTCAGTTTTTTCTAGATTGCCTTGCAATTTTTAATTCATAATAATTCATAATAATTCATAATAATTCACAATTCTGTCCTGTGTCATTCACTTACACTAAAAGATAACCCTTACTTTATGTTGGTTGTTATTGATGCTGAGCAACTCTTAACTTGCTACAGTTGCAGCACAGTAGTAACGTCACCAAATTTCACTCCAAATCTACTGGACTGGCAGCAGTGACCTGACACCACAGATATACAGCTATGGGGTCAGAGAACATGGGTGCCTGGGCACAGGAAGTGCATCATAATCTTATGAGACAAATTCAAGACAAAAAGATAAACCTTGAAGAGTACTTCTTAGTCACAATTAACCCTCAATTTATTGGCACTTACAGTACATGTATAGGCACTGACACTAAACAAATCATATACAATAAAATCTATTAAATTTTTATTGTATATGTAGTAAAGAAAGAATAAAACATTTAAAAACACTTAAAAGCAACAACTATACATCTACGTTATTGTGTGATGATGCCAATACAATATATATCAGAGCAGCAAAACTCCCATATCTGCACTGTTCATTGGAGCACTGGTCTAGACTGCTGAAGCGTTCTGTGTTGAGAAGTGGTCCGGCTCTCTAGCATGCTGATTGCACGGAGTATTTTAGCCCTTTCTGCAGTGTATAGTTAACAAATTAAAAAATAATTCCTCAATTATTACTGTATATGCAACCTGACTCGGGGACAGTAATGATGGAGGACACTTCACTTGGGCTTTTAAAATTGTACTGGGTTATAAGGCACAACTTTTCCAACTGTTCCAACACTGTCACTGAAAGTGACCCATTGGTGAACTGTCCTGGTTTGCTTTGGTTTTCTGACTCCAAGGGAAGTTCTTCCTAAGGGAAGGCTGGAGAACAGGAATTATTTTGTCCAGATAGATATGGAGGAAAGTGACAATTTCAGCCAGCTGTTTCTAAACACCTCCAGCTGCAATACCTATATATTTCCTTGAAGACATAATTATATTTCAAGAGACTCTGGTTCTGGGTCACAGTATTTGTAAAATGTCCAAATGCTCTCATCCATCCTGCAAAAGACAGTGCAGTCTGGACAATCACTACACATTTTTCCATAATGTAATCGGTTGTAGACTCCACGCCCATATTGCTTCAGGGATGTAAATCTATTTTGCACCGTTAATGCATGTATAGACCAAAACCTGAATGGTATGGCCTTTTTTCCATTGTGGTGCCACTGATTTCAAAACCAGTGCAATCATTCTCAATTAAAATATGCTGAAATGGCCACATTATCTGACAGACTCATACAACATTATATCTTACATAGGTCTTATTTGACAGCTGTACAACTCTCCAAGTTTCAACACAAGTCCTTTGTGTCTGCCTGCCACCCTGGGAACATTTTATTATTTACTTTGGGCATGTCCATTGATCAAAGGATAGTGGGAGCAGTTAATAAAATTTCTCCATGACAAAATGGTCTGCCCAACCTACCTGGAACCAATATATTGCCTATTGCAGATTGCACCTGGATTCAAGATATTTCTCCAACCTAGGAGTCCTTTTTCATGTTATTGTAAGCCTTCCTTATAAGAAATCTATATGTAAATATAGGGGTTGCCTCACCAAATTTCAGAAGAAATGGGATCGGTGGATGACTCAATCTGATACTTGCAATCCAATGCCTTTAGCACACTGGTACCTCATCTACTCTGGGACTTATTTTTGCTTATTGGGGTCTGGATTTCCACATGCTATATTTATATCTGCAAATTGATATACTGTAACCTTGGTAGTTGTTCTGCCCCAAACTACTTGGTTTCTTTTATTACCACCCTCTACCTTGTAATAACAATATATACAGGGTTATTCACTAAAGGGTGAAGAGTTTGGAGAAGGCAGGAGAAGTGAACAATCTAGGACAACATAGCTGAACCAGAAAGTGAGCTGAATTGGAGAATTTTTCCAGTTCAGCTAATTAGGCCTAGAATGTTCCTTCTCCTTCCTTCTCCAAACTCTTCACCCTTTTGTGAATAACCTTAAAAATGTCTGTTTGTCTCACAATATGGAACTTGATTGCTAAGTGGAGCACTATGTAAATTCATGACTTTTGGATTTTCTATTCTCATGCCTGTATCTTGTACTTGATACTTTATTCAAAATCTTTTTTTCAACATCAAATACTGTACTTGCTGGAATAGCACTCTCGATTTCACAGGTTCCAGCACCCGATGTTACAAGATGGTCAACATGACTAAAATGGAAACTCCTATCAAATACTGATAGTTGCATTCAGAAAGAAGAATTACCTATTGCTCAGATTAGAATCTATAAGTAGAGAAATACTACAGATTCCACTTATGCATGGTGCATCTGCTAGTGTATAGCACAAATATAGCCACATGTATTGCCTTCTTTTAGCCCCTTAATCCCTCAAAAGCCTACTAGAAAAAATGAAATGAAAAATACTAAAATGGCACTTCTACAAAATAATTTTGTGACCAAAAGTTATCCCATGATCAGAATAATCTGTATCTGTATAATTGAAATGAATAAATTCATCTGAGATGGAAATTAACAGAATAGAAGTTAATGAGCCTGGGAAAGGGGACAGCTTGGCTAGGAAGTGGTGCTAGTCTGTCTCTACACAAACACATTTCCAATCAGATATGCCGCAGGAAATCATAGCGCTGGAAAGAAAAGTAAAACATGAAGTGTTTACAGTGAACCAGAACATAATCAGACTCAATATTAAACAACTTTCATGAAATGAATCCTTTAACACATTAGCAGGCTCAGGGCAAATATAATAAAATAGGAAAAGGTAGTATTTTTTCTCAAATTATATGATTTTTATGAAACTGTTACCAAAAAAAAAAGGGAATGTTCACAGAACTGAATTGTACAGCAGACTGTCATGGCAATATTTGACTCCTAGCTGTTAGTACGACCAGAGCAAATGAGCTGATCGCCGAATAGAAGTCATGCATTCAACTGCTAGTGGAATTTGTAGACCTCTTCCCCTTCTTTTTGTTCCAGTTCAGCAAAGTTGTCTTGTGAAAGTTCTGAACTACACCAGGAAAAACTGGACAATCAAAGTTGATTCTTCCCCGTCAGGGCTCATATGCCTCTACTGGGGCAGGACAAATGGCAAGTAATACAAGATTAGGTAACATACGCAGGATAAGAAGCAAACCTTGGGACAATTCCATACTTCTTATCCAGACTGAGGGCCTAACCTTTACTGAAAGAAATGCAGAGGCTGCCATTGCTTACGCATGCCCCCCAACTCTCCCTCAGTTGGTGGGACTGTCCCTCATTTTGCCCCAAATCACACTGTCCCTCTTTCCTCCTCAGTTGTCCCTCTTTTGGTTTGATGCATAGACCCCTGCAAAACAATATACTATTCAAATATGAAAAGTATTATACTGCACTAAACCTTTCATCCAAACTCTAAATTGCTGTATTACCTGTTTTGAGCCCATATAAAGGAAAATGGTGGTGA